TTGGATTTTCGTGAATATTTGAAGTTTGAGCCTTCCATAGCTAAGTTCAATGTGTATATTGGGTCTGGGAGAGCAATAGGATCCTCGAAACCCAAACTCGGATTGGTGAATATTCATATTATTTTGTCAATTATTGTTTGGGTTGTCGTTGATGGTTGGTATAACGATTTTCTGGTAGTTTTTTGCTAATTTGTTGCTCATTCATTCCAAGTAATGATGATTAATGTTGCAGTAGCTTGAGGGAGGTTGGGCAGGAAGTTCAGGCGACTCACACTTGCAATCCATGGAGAATGGCTTAGGGATGCAAATCGGGGGGGGGGGGGGTGCTTTTAATCCACGCATTAGTTCAAATCAGTGTTTATTTGGTCTACTAAACACCATAATGTCCAATCCGAGATTCATTAAAAACCTTAGTGTCATTTTTTGCCCTTTTCCCTTTAACTTACAGTCTTACACTCCTTCGAGGTTGGTTTTGGACTGAAATAAAGTCAAACAATAGAATGATATAACCAAAAAGGATGTGATTTAATACCCTAACCTCTTCTTCTCCTACCCCAGACTCCAGATCTTACAATAACTGACCTGTAACAACATTAATTTTCATTCACAATGAATGTATTATAAGTGGCGTAGCAATTTGCCTACTAAAGTCTAAAAACTCATGCATGCCAACACTTTATCAAACGTGTAATATAACATGTGCAGTATTAAACTTTCATATGTGACTACTAATTTACCCAATTGATAAGTATCAAGCCATCAATACTAATTCTATGAGTTCATAGAACAATTAAATTTTTCATAAAATGAAACATAATTAAAACAAAGCACTCAAATGACACCTTTTGCAGTAAGCATGAACATCAATACTAATTCTTGTTAATTGGGTGCAATTATTATAGTCATTAGTTAATCTTCATGCTACATATTACTTTTTTGTTTGTTTTTTAACTTCAAACTTAAGAACCAAAACCACTCATTCACTATTTTCATAAAAATACTTATATACAATCAGGGGCGGAGCCAGAAAAGTGTGTGAGGGGGGTCGAAGTTTAATTATACACAGTATCAAAATGATGGATAATTATTATACAAATACTTGAATTAAATGTTTCATATGTAACTGAGATAAATGATAGTTTAATGAGCCCTTTTCAGTTAATGTATTGATATATATATGTAATGTATCATAATGGTCACACAACTAATGACTGAATAAGGTGTTTTATTTTTAAATTTAAGAATATAATCAACGTCACACATCAAATTTTGCTTATTTCAAGTTAAAATGGTGCTGATTTTTCTAGAAGTCATAACTTTGTACTCGTACTGAGTTACAAGACCCATAATATATCAAATCGAAGGTATTTCAGAGCTCTACATTCTTGAACTTTCAGCGGGGTCGGCTGACCACCCTGACCCTCCTTGGCTCCGCCCCTGTATACAGTCATCAACATTAATACTAATTTAATAAATTTATAGAAATATAAAACTTCCATAAAAATGATAAATAATTTAAAGAAAGCAAGGGATGAGTTTGGTTATGCAGGGACAGAGGATTGATGCATGGTTTTTGGCAGCCATAGGTCATGGAGGATCAATTAGCATGGTACCAGTGGTACGACCTCCTCCTGAACCACTACAATGGGATGCACGAGGTGCTAGAGTTCGTGAATGTTTTTCTTGTAATTTTTATCTGTTTGTTATTTGTTTTCTTGCGTCCATTTTTGTTGTTGAGTTTGACAGTTTGTTTGAGTTTTTTGCCTCTCTTTATGTCATTGGGTATGGTTGGACCTATGGAAATAGGTTTGGCTGTGTCAAGTCCACTACATGGTTAGCGATTCGTGTTGCTCTTTCAGGGGTGACCGTGTCAAAGTCTCATCATAGGGTTACAGTCGTAGTTGTTGGAGTTTCAGTTGGTGTCTGTTTTATTTTACCTTTGCTTGATGTAATGATCCTGAATCTTTTGATATGAATAGAGGCATGTTTTGATAATAAAGAAAAGTGGTGGCAAACAAAACCGCCTTAAAGTTTGACACAAATGCCCACTCACCTTTGCGAGAGCACATTCGAGATATTCTCAAGCGGAAACGATGGTTTAAGTTTTATGACTAAGGGAGTGTTTGCAATTGCTTCAACTTTAAAAAAGTGATTTTTTAAAGTGATTTTGGGAAAAGTGATTAATAGTAAAAGTTGGTAGTGTTTGAGAAAAAAGTGATTCTGGAAAAGTAAAAATTGGTAGTGTTTGGTAAAATAAGTATTTTTTGTGTAATAGAAAAAGTGAGAAGCAGTTTAAAACACCCTTCTACCTGCTTCCAGCTTTTAGCTTTTAAGTGATTAATTTAAGCAGAAGCTGTCATTTGAAAACACTCTTTTCAACTTTTTTTAGGGAAGTTTTCGCAAGTAGACTTGAAAGTAAAAATAATATCAAGTTTTTCTCTTTTCAAAGTTCTTTTCAAAACTGGTCTCACCAAAAACATTCTTTCACAAATAGACTGAAGTACGGAGTACATAGTAAGCCCAGCTATCGGGAACGTTACTCTTCCAAATTCCAATCCGATGGGCACCTAGATTCTTAGACTATGTTCTCTACTGGAAACCAACGGAAGCATGTTTTCGAATGTTTGATGAACTTTTATGACTTTTTGTATTTTAAGAAAAAGTTTTAGAAAATAATTATGCTCATCGCTTTCAAAAAAAAAACATTCGAAAAAATTATAATAATTAGAAAAATGATAAAAGCCTAAAAACTAATTTAGAAAATAAAGAAACAACTCAAAGACACAATTAAATTTTCATAAAATACATAAAGAAATGAATAATTGAAAAGTTGTAAATTAATATTAGGGAAAACTGTCAAATAAGTCCGTCTACTTTTCATAAAAAGTCAATTAAGTCCACATACTAATTTTTGAGTCAATTAAGTTCATAAAGTATCAAAATTAATCAAATTGACCTTTTCATAGGTTACCAACCGGTTATCCGGTGAAAGCCTAAGTGAATGTCACAGCTGTCAAATTTTTATTATTTTGAAATCTTTTTTCTTTTCTTTTCCTATTTCTTTTCTCTCTTCCTATTTTCCTCTTTCTTCCTCTGCCCATTTTGCTGTCTCCACTTCGTCTTTCATTTCTTCCCCTACTTTTCTTTTGCTCTTTCTACCACCGCCTATTCCCACTAGAACAACCTCCTCCGACCACCACATCGGTGCCCTGGCCTCCATAGAGACCATCTTTGTGCGCAGCCTAACCTCCGCCGCACTACATCAATCCATTTACACAATCACCCGCCACACCTTCTCCGGCCACCACATCTGTGGCCTCAGCCTCCGCCTCCTCCATTGGAGAGACCTCCATCCGCCCTGAAATCTAGAGCACCCACCTCCGCCCCATCCATTAGAGATACGACCTACATGTCTCCAAGACTCCAACCACCCAGGCATCCATAGCCACCCACTACCTCTGCGTGCGGCCTCCACCTTCGGCCACCACCTCCACGTTTTCTTACCCTAACTCAGAGACTGCCAGATCTTCTAAGGAGAAGATCGAAGGAGAACGCAAGCTTGGGGATCGGCGAAATTGAAAGAGGGGAAATGATAACAGTACGTCAAATAGAGAGAAAGGAAAGAGAAAAAACAAAAGAATAAGAAAAATTAAAAAAAAAGGTAAAAAGAGCTAGCTGGATGCACACGTTGGCGGACAACCGGGTGACCGGAGGATAACCTCTTAAAAAGCTCATTTGATTGTTTTTTAATACTTGGTGGACTCAATTGATTCAAAAAACAGTACGTGGACTCAATTGACTTTTTGCTAAAAGTAGATGGACTAATTTGACAGTTTTGCCTTAATATTATGAATAGTATAGAAAAAGTAGAAGAGAGTGCAAAAGTATGAAAGAGAAGATAAAAAATAGAAAAAGTAAGGGTAGTTGACTATTTTTAAAGGAAAAACTTATCAAAAAGGTAAAGTATAGCAAACTTTTAAATACATCCCAAAAAAGAAAGTGTAGCAAACTTTAAAATACGGAGGGAGTAAAATAAAGGATTTTTTAAATAACAAAAGTGTAAATAAACATTTAGAAAACATAGAAATGCAAAACTCGAAAATAAAAATTTAAAAGTGTAAACAAGTTTAGAATGTGAGAACATTGTAAAAATAAATAAATAGAATTTTGTGATGTAATGTTTGAATAAGTTAATACAACTTATAAAAAATATTACTCCCTCCGTCCCTAATTTATCTTCCAAATAGGTTTGGCACACAGTTTAAGATAGTGGATATTGTGTGGTAGAGAGTTGTGCAAATGAGAGAGAAATGTGTAAGAATTGATGTGAACCACAAATTCTGGCAAAAAAGGGAAAGCGGAAGTTTTAATTGGGACGGACGAAAAAGGAAAGTTGGAAGTTTATTTAGGGACGGAGGGAGTAACTGTTAAAAATATATGAAATTCAAAAGTTCAATAAAAAAGTTTCAAATAGTTAAAAAAAAACTAGAAACCTAAAAAATTGTAAACAAAAATGTAAAATAAAATAAAAAATGTTTTGAAAATAGTAAAAATTTTGAAAAATAATGATAGGTATGTAAAATGGAATGTATATAGAGTAAAATATCTAAATAATTTAAATAGGTATATAAAATGTGAAAATTTAAAAAAAATCAAATAAAATTTTATTAAAATAAAAGGATAAAATAGATTTCATAAATTTTAAAAAAATCTTAATGCAAACATGTAAAAATATGTAGGAATTGAAAAAATAGAAATCGAGTTTTGTAATATAATATAAAAAACACTTAACAAATTTAATTATTGCTATTATCATCAACTTATTGTTACTTTTTTTTCATATGTTTCTTTGTGTTTCTTTTTGTTGAAAATTTGAAGTTTTTGTTTTTACTTGTTTCTTCATGTTTCTTATTGTTGTTGATATTCATAAATACAAAATTCTTGTTCCTGGTGTTACATACATACTTCAAAGAAATAGCAAACTAAAAAAGAAACCTAAGTAAACAATAAAATCAAAATCAACAATTTATATATAAATTAGTAACATGATTTACACATAATGCAACAAGAAGCAACACAAAACAACAAAAAGCAACAAGTGCGGTACAACAAAAAGAAACAAAACGCAACATGTAAAGTACAACATAAATGTATATTAGAATCTATTATTTCCACTAATTGCATTTATCTATTACATTATTTGAGATCGCTTCTTATCATTTTTCTTCTTTTTAGGCATCTTAATCCACAATACTTCATATTTGGCTCTCTTGTCTTGGTTTTCCTTGTTTATCCTCTCAATTTTAATAGCATCTTCATGTATTTCTTTTCCTTTTTTGCGCCTGCAATAACAATACAATCAAAAACATATAAGACATCTAAGTAAGCTAAAAAATAACAAATGCACCAAAATATATCCACAACAATATGAAAACAAAATAAATGAAAAAAGAACAAACAGAACATTACATATTTACTCTGACAAGACATTGCATTTTATGGGAAAGTAATACCTTATAATGTGTCATGCGACCGGCAGCACTCTGGATCCTTACAGCAGCCTCCTGTAACGAGAATCCTTTCCTTCTCAACCATCCAATGCATTGACTCTAGAAAATGAACAACATATAACACTCATAATCAGTCCTTTGAACAGTTCACCTTTATATGTGCATGCAACTTTTCAGTCACCACAAGGCCAAAGGAAGATATGTTCTATTTATTTTGTTTCTTTTTTGGGACCTCTTATCTCTTTTCTAAATCAGTACCTAGATACCAAATCAAACATGTCGGCGAAATTGTTTAGGTAGTGATACCATACACTTCATTCATGTTTAATATAAAAAGATGAGAAATATAGCCAAACACTTCATATGAGAAATACAAAAAATGAAAACAATGAAGTCATGAAGAACATACGAAAGAAAGAGATTAGGAAAGGAATAAAAAGCCAATCGTTTTAGCAATTCTAAAATAGCCAAATAAGACCACTAATAATGTAAACCATGAAGCATATGCAGCTGATATAGGGTCAATAATTACCATTTACCTAAATGTTGATCATGACATATTTACACCTACTATACTCTCTCCGAGCAATCCATCCACGAACACATGTTCGAATAGTGATCACTGGTTTAACTGCACATCTGTAGCGCTTAAAATTCCTCAAGCATATCATAGAATGTAGAACATTGAGCTTTTGTTGCCGATTGTGTCATTATTTTGAACTAATTAGTCTCATCCGTGTAATAATTAGGGAAGCACGGGATTAACCTTGCCAGGGATTTTTTACATCTCAATAGCAGCTCTTATTAGCTATGATGATCACATCTCTAAATACATTAAACTTGGAAGTGAAATTGGTCCATCATTTAAATTATATGAACCAGTAAAAACGAAAATAATAATAATAATAGTAAACAACTAATTGACTAAAAAAGTTAATGACTATTAAGTATGCATTAACCAATTAAAACTATGAATGTAAAAAATGAGTAAATTAAACAACTTCAGGTCTACAAGGAATTAAAGGAGTACAATTCTACAGACCTACTGCCAAAAGGAGAGAAACAAAACTAAAATCTGAATGATTAAATAACAGAAAAAAATACGAAGGCGTCATGGATAGGAATTACCTTACACTTGTAGATCTCCTTCTTCAACTTTCCTGAAGAGATGTGGCAATTCTTCCCTTACACAACATCATACATCACATTAACACATTAGTTTGAAGTCTGCCACCGTCTTCTCCTTAGATCAACTCCTTCTGGTAAGAGATAAGCCTTCACTTTTGTCATTTTCCTTATCAAAAGCAGCATAACTAAGTGTCGGATTAAGGATGGATTTTGTCATCATTTGATCGTTTTTCAATGTTGCGAATTTCCGAGGCAATGAGAGAGAGAACGCGAGGCCTCGTTGCAATCCTATGGAGCGGTTTCAGTTCATCCAACTCCAGCGCCAGCTCTTTCGCTCGGTCGGATTCAGCCATTTTTTGCGATCCTTTCAATTCTCCACCATTCAAAAACGACCTTAAAGATTTGAGTTGCCAGAGGAGATGCAGTGAGATATGAAGGTGTACAGAGAAGAAGATGAGAAGAAAGGCATGGTGGAGAAGTCGAGACGAGAGATCGAGAGAGAAGCAATGGGATCGAAAAGAAATTCTAGGGATTTGATTTTTCAATTTGACTTTAAATCGGGGGTTTAGTCTATTTTTGAAATAAGGAAAATTTACTGAAAAGTTGAAAGTTTAGATTTGAAAAAAAAAATTGTGTGCGGACATAAATGAAAAGAGGCTAGCTCAGGATATTTCCACCTTTTTTTAAGCCCAAAAGTTATAGCTTTTAAGAATCTACCTCTATATAAAAAGAGGTGGAAAACCAGTTGGTTTTCCCGCCTAAAATCCAAGCAAAAGTGGGTCGGGTCAGTACGCAGGGTGGGGTTTACATCTGGGTCAAGGAAGTTGGTTGGAGTCATTAAATGTCTTTGCTTCGGTCTATTCAGAATCTCAAAAGGTTATATTACATTGGGGATTGTTGACGTGACTTATTATAATCAATATAGCTAAAAAACTTTTTGACTAAATTGTGACTTTATTTTATGTCAAAAATAGGATGGGTGCATTTAATGAAAACTGTTCAAAGAGCTTCTTTACTCAACTAGAACATGAAGCAATAAATTCGGACTTGACTGATTTTCCTAATAAAGTTCTCAAATTTAAATTACAGATTGGGTTGTTGGTATTTTTTCGCAAATCAGAATCTTATTGAATGGGATTTTGTTTAGACAACTGTAAAGATCTATCTAAAAGATAATTGAACAGTTCAAAAAAATTGGGCTACAAACTAAGTGCATGCATACCAACCATCTTCTACTATAAATAAGGCACCTTACACAACATTTCACACCACAACGCACACTCCACACGACAAACTCACAACACCAAGCCATTTAGCTACTAAATTCACAACTCAATAATGGTTGAGAGCTCCAAGGATGTGGTCCTACATGAGCGACATTGAACACACCAAGACGACGTGGGCAGTGCAAGTAAGCGTAGTAAGGGCCTACGAAGTAGCTGACCATGCCAGAGGCGGAAACACTTTGGAGATGGAGCTCCTTGATGAAGATGTATATAGTATATTTATTTTTGGACATTTTCTCCCTCCCTTAAAGATAATTCGAAAAAATGTTGAGATGGTATCACTACAAGAAACTTGGTCTGTAATGAAAGGATATACCGTGGTTAAAAGTCTAAATCCCGTCATAAAAACTTTTAGTGACGGGAAATATCCCGTCTTGGCCCCTCACTACAGCTTCCGCGGTTAAAAACATATAATGACGGTATAGGTGTCCCCTCATTAATAAGTGTATGGTGAGAGTAAGTGTACCCTCATTAAAAACATTTTTTTTTATAATTGTAACCCCTCCATTATAATAATAATTGTATTATTACAATACTTGTTGGTCATTAAATAATATTCATTTTTCTTTTCAAATTTGTTCTGTAATGAGATTTATAACTATTATTACACATACATACCGAAATAAAAGGTATACATAACAAACACATTTTTACTAATAAACAACACAAGTTTTGTGTAACATACAGCCTAGTATGGACTCTGAACTAGATTTTATAGTTACAAATGGGTATCAATATCCTTTATTACATGGATTGAAGCTGTAAACTTCAAAATCTCACTTTTATGCTATCTAACTCAACACTCAACTCATGGACTTCTCTCTGTTTCTCATTCAGATTTCTAAATCCCATGCTTCTTCTGAGTTAGAACACTTTTGCTCCCAAACTGAGATTACATTCTGCAAAGAATTCATGAAAATTCAAACATCAGACAAACAGACACACACATACCCACATTTGGTAAACCAACACATAAATTAACAGTTAATAGCTTGAAAGCTTCCAATTATGTAGCAGAGATGGACACAATTTCTTATATTAAAAGGTTTTCTTATATTATATCCCAAATCTAAACATAGGTAGGAAAGTGGAATCTATTTTGTCATTGCATATATAAACAAATAACATATACATATCCACAATTCTACAAATAAAATAAGAATGAAACTCTTCTTCAACTTCCTGTTTGTAGCAGCCTGCATCAATAAAAGTAGAGAATGAATTTTCAAGATAAAAATTAAAAAACTTCAACAACCATTCAAACCTAGTACTCAAAACTTGTAGTTCTACATTAAAAAAAAATCATAAAATCAGAACTTCAACCTGTGAGACTGCTTCAATTGTGGAAAAGCACAACCAGATCTGCTAAAGAGCTGAACAAGATCTAGAGAAAGTAAAAACCATCTTTCAAAGGCAACACAACTACAAATAAAAGATCAACGGGTAAACATTATTTTGGATTAGAAAATTTTCAAAATACGACAAGGATAAATTAAGGATAAATTCGAAATAGGGAACCTAATACAGATTCAATTTACACAAGAATGGCGAAAAATATGAGTGTAGATTGAAAATCCATACACGAAAAATTAAAAAAGATTTATACTCATGTAAACGGCAGAGCAATCGCACAATCTATAACACAGAAAACGAACTGGCGATGAATGAAGAAAACGAACTGACGGAGACGAATGAAGAAAACAGAATGGCCGACGGTTACATACCTTCAATTCATCCTCATTATTGGCCAAGTCAAGAACAATCGTCAGCGGTGACGATTTTTCTTCAGCTCCGCCATATATGGTTGCGGCTCAAGGTTGACTGAGATGTGGTGTGTTGTGAGAAAGAAATCTTAATAACCCTAGGCAGAGCAGCAGTCGGCGGTGATGACTTCATCTTCGCCGCAGCTCCTCCATATACGGTTACGGCTCAAGGTTGAGATGCGAAGTGTTGTGCGAAACAGAGAAAGGAAAATCAATAACCCTAGTACTTCAATACTCCGTACGTATTAAGTAAGACCAAGTATTTTACTCCGTAAATGCTTTAGAGCATCTTTAGAGCATCTTTAACGGGAGCATCAATTGCTCTAAATCCATTGCCACGTCAAACTTCGATAAATAAAAATATCTCCAACGCAAATGTACATTTTGTCTATGGTGCTGAGCTGTATTTCCAAACAACGGACGGCGTGTATCTCGCTTTCTAGCTATAGGAGGTCTATCTCACACTCTGACTCAGCAATAGCATTTATTATACGGAATAATACACAATTCTTCACGAGCTCTAGCTTCTGTTCCCATCCGGCAACAAATAAACCTCTCCGCTACAGGAGTGCCACCAACTCGCAAGTCGCAGACCCTTGTCCTCAGTCGCACTCATCCTTAAGGCGGCAGCGGCCGGCACCCTTTTTTCTCCGGCGATTGTTTTTTCCGATTCTCCCAACTCCCAAAGCGGAGACGACCTTCCCTTCCATTTTCCAAAGCTCGAACACTCTCTTTGGTCTCTTTCAATGTTGTTGGGTAAGTATCTTCCCTTTTATCTCCATCCCGTCAGCTTTCTCTGCAAAGGATGTATATCATTGGGGCTTCAGCCTTAATTAATTACCTTGAGGAGTTGCAAACTTGCAATTGGGGGCTACCCAGACTTCTTTCTCATAGCAGATGCCGAAATTAAAGGTCATTGAATTGGAATAAACTTCAGCATTCATTCTTCCGGTTCCTGTATTGAATCGATCTAGACTCAGAGACGGTGGTTGTCTTGCCTCAATCAAGTATATATGTCAATTTTTTTTGGAGATCACGTAATTAAATCTTCTCCTCCCTGACCAAGCTTCCTTCACAAATGGTTCTTCTTCACTTTCACCGGCGACGAAATTTAAACCACCTCTACTTCGTAATTTCCTCTGTTTTTTAAATACTATGTATAATGAATAGTACCAAATACGGAGTAATACCATACCGGCAGTTTCATTATCTTGTGACGTAGAAGACTTAAATTGAGGATGGCGTTGGAGATCAAATATTATTTTAAATGTGTATTTGTCCACCTCAGCATGATAGGCTGTCCATATTGATTACATGTCCATTTTTTATGTGATACAATCCACATTCCCACTAAAGATGCTCTTACTCCGTATAAAATAAAGGTAGCCACAATTTTTCTCCAATAATGACGGTAGAGATTAAAATTTTCAAAATTGGTCATAGTTTTAGTTAGGGTTCTTTTTTACTCTCATAAAAATATAAAAACGACACTATTAATGAGGGGCTTTTGGTACTGTCATTAAATTCCCTCACTACTAAGTGGTTTTCTTTATATACTAATGTCGAACAACATTTTGCAGGGCATAAATGTGATCAACTAATACACGAAAATACAAATACGAAGTATATATGTTCCAAGCAATTGATATAGTTATACGTAAATATAGCTACACGTATAACCGATTAGTTTTATAAATAAGTTTTAAATAAGTATTAAAACCAGTATACTTCAACTATTAAGAAGTGTTAGCCCAACTTAAGGAGTATGACATAGATATAAAAGCAGCTGAGTTTAAAACCCGTGTTTGTTTGAGCGTATATGGTATTACATCAAATATTAAATAAGTATTAAAAGAAGAATAAAACCTTAAGGCTTTATGAAATTTTTGTTAAAATAGGGGTCACATAAGTATAGATAGGTTACACCTTAGAGATTTTTAAAAAAAAAAAGACTGGTCATACAAGTATGATTGCTACGTGTAAAAACTGATTTAGTTTGAAAGCAGCATTATGTATAAATTTGGAATGAAGTGTAAAAGACAATAAAACCAACTTAGTTTTAATAACAATGTTACTTTGAAAGTTGTATTACATTAAACAGATATTAAAGGCATTATGGACACCATACTTTAAAAACAATGCAAGTTTCAAAGCAGTATACAAACCATTAAAGAAGTATAACAGATTAGGTTTATAAACAAATTGTTGAATTCATCCAAGATAATTTAATTATAGGGTTCATATCGGTATGAGAAGTTAGTTTGAAAAACAGATTTAGATTCAAAACAATTTTTTTCAAAAAAATCGTATACACACGTGTGAATAAATTTATGAAAGATTAGGTCTAAAAACCAAGTGCTTAATTTATCCAAGTAAGATTAATCATAGGGTTTATGTATGGTTGACAGATTTGTTTTAATACAAAATTTAGTTTGAAATTATTAAAAGCAGTATATTAAAATAAAATAAAATATGTATTAGACCAAAAAAAACAATTAGATAAGTATCAAGTA